CGGTTCAAACTCTGATTCAGATTCAGACAGCGGTGCCGATGGTGACAGTGTTCCAGAGTCTGCCACACCGTGGAAGAGGAAGAAGATGACGAAGAGGGCCTCTCGAGCTTGAGATAGTTGGCACTGATTCAGATGCTTTTTCTTTGTTTTTCTTTTTTGCCAGTAGTATTAGCACTCTGTACAGCCTTAGGCAGTCTTACTTTTCTTTGAAAACTTGTACTTTTTTGCAATAAGAAACCATGATTGGAATGAAAACAACTTTTTGTTTAAAATGATGTTGTACTTTACATTCTAAGCATCACATAACATCGCACAACATGAAAATGAGATTGATCTTTGTTTGAAAACTGCACATTCAAATTGCATTGGTCTTAATCAGGTAGCGAACCAACTAACAACTGAAAGAATAAAACAACTCGTTACACAGCAATAAATACAACTCGATAAGCAAACCGCAACAACTCGATAAACAACATACATACAACTCAATAAGCAACAAAATGCAACTTAATAAACAAAACCAAATGATTACAACTTAAACAGACAGGCTCAAGCCCGAAAAGAACCAAAACTAGACCCCAAGAGGTGCCGATAATAGAATACAACTGCTGAAAGCAACTGGATCTTCACACAGGAGATCATTGAGCATGAAGGGAAGACTGCCGACCATGGGGAATGGCCTGCCGGCCATCAATTTCCCCCTGCCCGCCATTGATGACCCCCTGCCGGCCATCAATGAGCCACTGCCAGCCATCAATGAGTAGCACCTCCGAAATGTTAACACCTGTCCTCCACTCACTGCCTTATCCTCCATAAAAGTTCTAGCTTTGTGGTTTCTTCATTTCGGCTCCATTTTATCCCCAAATGGAACCATTTTTTGCCCAAAAACTCTCCAATTGGATTACGACTTTAGATGGCTCAGAAAAGTTGAATTTCTGAGGTTTCGGGCTAAATGCACTATTCCCGCTAAGCCGTACTCCATTGTGTTTTCCATTCCTCCATGCCGGAGCTAGGTGTTGGAATCCGATTACACACGTTTTTAGCTTTGGCAGACAAGAGCTGTGACCCACAATCGAAAAATTCCAAGCTTTGATGGAGTCTCGGCGCGATGAGAAAATCTTGCCCTAACTACGTTTTGGCCACATCCAGGCTTTGGGAAGGATGTGCGGGCTCACTTTAGATAATGCTCGGTCCTTGGTTCACAATGAGGAGTTGGATATTCCAAACTTGATTCATTGGTTTTTTGACGCCGGTGACCGTAGCGACCGCCTTTGGCAAAGCTTTCGGCAGCATGCCCTCTGCTTGTGTATGTTAGCTCATTTTCTGCTTGCCCCTGGTTTCGGAGGGTCTAACATTCGCTTGATTGAAGTTACCCAGGGCATGAAAGAGGACAAGAGCTGTATTGGCATAACACTAGCCGAGACTTTGAGGGGCTTTGATGCTTTCCATCACCGGGAAACAACCAAGTTTGCAGGGAGTCCACTACTATTGGAGGTAATGTTTTCCACCCTTCTCACATGTGTGTCTCACATCACTCGGCCCTCAGGCTTTGTTTTTCCCTCAAAACCCTTTTCTCACTTTTCTATCCACGTACACTATTCTTTAATCTCTCTTGTTTTTCATCCCTCCCCAAGTTTGGCTAATGGAGAAGTTGAAAGTAGTGGACTCTTGCCCAGCGTACTCAGTGTGCAGCTATTTCTTCCGCCCATGGCTAGTTGACTTCCCAAACGATGGGTGGTGGTGTCACTGGATGTGCAACAGATCTGCTGTTGACATTGCTTGGCTTTACCCCTGGTTTGACTTGCCTGAGATGAGCTACAGCATGTCCTGGTAGCCTGGCATTCAGTTGATTAGCTTGACACACTGTGTCTTCTACTTCCCATTTCGGTTCTGGCGTCAGTTCGGGCATGACCAGACCTGCCTAGAAGAGGGAATAAAGTAGCCTGCTGCATTTGCAATCGGAGACTCACAGCTGGCTCGGTATGCCACAGCATGGAGAACAGGAGAACTTCTGGCCCCTACTTCTAGTTTTAGTTGCGCCCTTTCTGGCGAATGCATAGCTTGGCTTGAAGTTGAGGCACAAACTGGGCCTCCCTTGGCATCTGAAGCTTCCATAAGCTCCGGGAGGAGATGCAGGAACACCTGACTATGCCCCAAGTTTATTGCTTTAATCTGTACTTTCAAGTTTTCTTTTTGAACGTAATAAAAACAACTTCAATTTGTATCAAGAACCGGAGAACTATGTCTTGAAATCAATGAAATTGAAGGTTGTGGGTATTGAAAATTTTCCGTTTGGTCCAAAAATGGTCTAAGTTGTAAATAGATTAATTTGAACAAAATCAACTTTTATTCAAACTTTTCAAAACCATTTTCGATATGGATCACAACTGGACACGCCCGAAATCCATCCTTGAGATATACAACCCCAAATCCCATAACTGGAAAGTTGCCCCTTTGTCTAAATAGCACTGCACTGGAGATCACAACCGAACTCTTGGATGCAGAAAAGACAAAGATGACCAGAACAATCACATGGACACAGTTGATTTAGAAGTGTTTATGGTTGGACTTCAGAAAGAAGTTGCCTACGTATCCCGAAGATGGGAATCAAGCCTTACGTAGTTCGGTTCAGGTTCGCGCGGGTTTTAACACTCTCTTTTTGCGCTCTAACTTTTGCCAAGGCCACCCTTTCTGGGTTTTCAACCTTGCGAGCTCAGTTTTTCTTATTTCAATTTTCTTTGCTCTAACTTTTGCCTAGGTCACTCTTTCAGGTTTTAGGCCTAGCGGGCCACTCAGGGATAGTATTTCTTCAACTTGTCCATGTTGATTAGCTGGGAGAACTCAAGGCCATCTAGGTCCATAAGAATGACAACTCCATTCGACCAGATAGACTTGATGATATAGGGACCAGTCTAATTAGGTCTGAGCTTGCCCCTAGGGTCATGGGTGGGAGCTCGGTTGTCTTTGAGCACCAAATCTCCTTCTTTCAGATTCCTGGACTTAACCTTCTTGTTGAAAGCCCTGGCGATCCTGCGTTGATAACCTTGGACATGATACAGTACTTTCAGCTTTATCTCGTCAAATAGCATAAGCTCTTCGAACCTGCTCTGTTGCCAATCTACCTTAGCTATCTGGCACTCAACCATTACCCACAATGACGGAACCTCAACTTCGATCGACAGAACAGCCTCCATCCCATAAACCAAGGAATACAGAGTTGCCCCAGTAGAAGTTCGAATTGACGTTCGATAGCCCCAAAGAGCAAATGACAGCTTATCTGGCTAGTCCCTGTAGGTTTCCACCATCTTCTGTAGAATGTGCTTGATGTTCTTGTTGGTGGCCTCAATAGCTCCGTTGGTTTGCGGCCGATATGTGGATGACTTATGAAAAGCCACGTTGTACTTCTCCAACAAGTCGATCAC